GGTCTCTGACAGTGTGATGTCTCTGGGCACACAAGGTGGTTTCTGGATGGTCTCTGATAGTGTGATGTCTCTCGGCCCACAAGGTGGTCTCTGGATGATCTCTAATAGTGTGGTGTCTCTGGGACCACAAGGTGGTCTCTGGATAGTCTCTTATAGTGTGGTGTCTCTGGGAAGACAAGGCAGTATCTGGATGGTCCGCAGAGAGTGTGGTGTGTCTGGGTCCACAAGGCGGTCTCTGGATGGTCTCTGATACTGTGGTGGCTCTGGGCCCACAAGGTGGTCTCTGGATGGTCTCTGATAGTGCTATGTCTTTGGGCCAACAAGGTGGTCTCTGGATGGTCTCTGATAGTGCTATGTCTTTGGGCCCACAAGGTGGTCTCTGAATGGTCTCTGATAGTGCTATGTCTTTGGGCCCACAAGGTGGTCTCTGGATGGTCTCTGATAGTGCTATGTCTTTGGGCCCACAAAGTGGTCTCTGGATGGTCTCTGATAGTGTGATGTCTCTGGGCCCACAAGGTGGTCTCTGCATGATGTCTGATACTGTGGTGGCTCTGGGCCCACAAGTTGGTCTCTGATAGTGCTATGCCTTTGGGCCCACAAGGTGGCCTCTGGATGGTCTTTGATAGTGTGATGTCTCTGGACCGAAAAGGTGGTCTCTGGATGGTCTTTGATAGTGTGATATCTCTGGGCTGAAAAGGTGGTCTCTGGATGGTCTCTGATAGTGTGGTGTCTCTGGGCCCATAAGGTGGTCTCTGGATGATCTCTCATAGTGTGGTGTCTCTGGATCCACAAGGTGGTCTCTTGATGGTTTCTGATAGTGTGGTGTCTCTGGGCCCACAATGTGGGCTCTGGATGTTCTCTGATTGTGTGATGTCTCTGAACTTATTAGTTGGTCTCTGGATGGTCTATGATAGTGTGGTGTCTCTGGGGCCACAAGGTGGTCTTAGGATGATCTCTCTTAGTGTGGTATCTCTGGGTCCACAAGGTGGGCTCTGGATGGTAAGATTGTGTGATGTCTGTAGGCTTATAAGGTGGACACTGGATGCTCATTGATACTGTGGTGTCTCTGGTCTCACAAGGTAGGCTCTGGATGGTCTAGGATAGTGTGATGTCTCTGGGACCACAAGGTGGTCTATGGACGGTCTCAGATAGTGTGTTGTTTCTGGGCCTACAGGTGGTCTCTACCTGGTCTCTGATAGTGTGATGTCTCTGGGCCCACAAGGAGGTCTCTGGATGATCTCTGATAGTGTGTTGTCTCTGGGCCCACACGGTGGTCTCTAGATGGTCTCTGATAGTGTGGTTTCTCTGAGAAAACAAGGTAGTCTCTGGATGATCCACAGATAGTGTGTTGTCTGTGAGCCCACAAGGTGGTCTCTGGATCTTCTCTGATAATGTGGTGTGTCTGGCCCCACAAGGTGGTATCTGGATGATCCCTGATAGTGTGGTGTCTATGGGCCCACAAGGTGCTCTCTGATAGTGTGATGTCTCTGGGCCCACAAGGTGGTGTCTGGATGGTCTCTGATAGTGTGATGTCTCTGGGCCCACAAGGTGGGCTCTGGATGGTCTCTGATAGTGTGATGTCTCTGGGCCCACAAGGTTGTCTCTTGATGATCTCTGGTAGTGTGGTATCTCTGGAATCACAAGGTAGTCTCTGGATGGTCCACAGATAGTGTGGTGTCTCTGGGCCCACAAGGTGGTCTCTGGATGGTCTCTGATAGTGTGGTTTCCCTGGGGCCACAAGTTGGTCTATGGATGGTCTCTGATACTGTGTTGCTCTGGTCCCACAAGGTTGTCTCTGAATGGTCTCTGATAGTGTTATGTCTCTGGGCCCACAAGGTGGGCATTGGATGCTCGGTGATAGTGTGTGTGTCTCTGGGCTTACAAGATGATCTCTGTGATACTGTGGTTTCTCTGGGCCAACAAGGTGGTCTCTGGATGGACTCTGATACTGTGGTGTCTGAGGGCCCACATGGTGGTCTCTGGATGGTCTCTGATTATGTGATGTCTTGGGCTTACAAGGTGGTCTCTGGATGGTCTCTGATAGTGTGGTTTCTCTGGGCTCACAAGGTGGTCCCTCGATGGTCTCTGATAGTGTGGTGTCTCTGGGACCACAAGGCAGTCTCTAGATGATCTCTCATTGTGTGGTGTCTCTGGGTCCACAAGGTGGTCTCTGGATGGTCTCTGAAAGTGTGGTGTCTATGAACCCACAACGTTGTCTCTGGATGGTGTCTGATATTGTGGTATCTCTGGGCCCACAAAGTGGGCTCTGGATGGTCAGATTGTGTAATGTCTCTGGGTGTACAAGGTGAACGTTGGATGGTCTCTGATAGTGTGGTGTCTCTGGGCCCATAAGGAGGGCTCTGGATGGTTTCTGATAGTGTGGTGTCTCAGGGCCCACATGTTGTGTCTGGAGGGTCTCTGATAGTGTGGTGTCTCTCAGCCCACAAGGTGGTGTCTTGATAGTCTCTGTTGTGTGGTGTCTCTGGGACAATAAGGTCGTCTCTGGATAATCCTCAGATGGTGTCATGTCTCTGGGTCCACAAGGTGGGCTCTGGATGGTCAGATTGTGTGATGTCTCTGCGCTTACAAGGTGGACGCTAATTGGTCTCTGATAGTGTGGTGTCTCTGGGGCCACAAGGTGGTCACTGGATGGTCTCAAATACTGTGGTATCTCTGGTCCCACAAGGTGGACCCTGGATGGTCTCTGATAGTGTTATGTCTCTGGACCCACAAGGTGGGCTCTGGATGGTCTCGGATAGTGTGATGTCTCTGGGACCACAAGGTAGTGTCTGGATGGTGTCTGATAGTGTTTTGTCTCTGGGCCCACAAGGTGTTCTCTGGATGGTCTCTGATTGTGTGATGTCTCTGGGCTTACAAGGTGGTCTCTGGATGGACTCTGATAGTTTGGTGTCTCTGGGCCCACAAGGTGGTTTCTAGATGATCTCTCAGAGTGTGTGTCTCTAGGCTCACAAGGATGTCTCTGGATGGTCTCTGAAAGTGTTGTGTCTCTGGGCCCACAAGGTGGTCTCTGGATGGTCTCAGAGAGTCTGGTGTCTCTGAGCCCACAAGGTGGTCTCTGAATTGTCTCTGATAGTGTGGTGTCTCTGGGACCACAAGGTCGTCTCTATATGGTCTCTGATATTGTGGTATTTCTGGGCCCACAAGGTGGTCTCTGATAATGTGGTATCTCTAAGCCGACAAGGTGGGCTCTGGATGATCTCTGATAGTGTGGTGTTTCTGAGCTTACAAGGTGGTCTCTGGATCGTCTCTGATAGTGTGTTGTCTCTGGGCACACAAGGTGGTCTCTGGAGGGTCTCTGATTGTGTGGTGTCTCTGGGCCCACAAGGTGGGCTCTGGATAGTCTCTGATAGTTTGGTGTCTCTGTGCCCAAAATGTAGTCTCTCGATGGTCTCTGATAGTGTGCTGTCTCTGAGACCACAAGGTTGTCTCTTGATGGTCTCTGATATTGTGGTATTTCTGGGCCCACAAGGTGGTCTCTGGATCGTCTCTGATAGTGTGTTGTCTCTGAGCCCACAAGGTGGTCTCTGGATGGTCTCTGATAGTGTGGTGTCTATTGGCCCACAAGGTGGTCTTGATAGTGTGATGTCTCTGGGCCCACGAGGTGGTCTCTGGATGGTCTCTGATAGTGTGATGTCTCTGGGCCTACAAGGTGGTCTCTGATGGTCTCTGATTGTGTGATGTCTCTGTTCCCACAAGGTGGTCCCTGGATGGTCTCTGATAGTGTTGTGTCTCCAGATCCACAATGTGGGCTCTGGATGTTCTCTGATTGTGTGATGTCTCTGAACTTATTAGGTGGTCTCTGGATGGTCTATGATAGTGTGGTGTCTCTGGGCCCACAAGATGAATTTTGGATGGTCTCTCATAATGTGGTGTCTCTGGGCCCAAAATGTGGTCTCTGGATTGTCTCTGATAGTGTGATGTATCTGGGCCCACAAGGTGGTCTCTGGATGGTCTTCGATATTGTTATGTCTTTGGATCCACAAGGTGGTCTCTGGATGGTCTCTGATAGTGTGTTGTCTCTGGGTGAACAAGGTGGTCTCTGATAGTGTGGTGTCTCTGGGCCCACAAGATGGACTCAGAATGTTCACTGATAGTGTGGTCCCTCTGGGACCACAAGGTGGTCTCTGGATGGTCTCTGATAATGTTATGTGTTTGGGCCTAAAAGGTGGTCTCTGGATTGTCTCTGATTTTGTGTTGTCTCAGGGCCCACAAGGTGATCTCTGGATGGTCTCTGATACTGTGGTGTCTCTGGGCCCATAAGATGGTCTCTGGATAGTCTCGGATTGTGTGATATCTCTGAGCTTACAGGTGGTTTCTGTATGGTCTCTGATAGCGTGGTGTCTCTGGGCCCACAAGGTGGTCTCTGGATGATATCTTATAGTGTGGTGTCTCTGGGCCCACAATATGGTCTCTGGAAGATCTCTCATAGTGTGGTGTCCCTGGGTCCACAAGGTGGTCTCTGGATGATATCTCATAGTGTGGTGTCTCTGGGCCCACAATATGATTTCTGGATGATCTCTCATAGTGTGGTGTCTCTGGGCCCACAAGGTGGTCTCTGGATGATATCTCATAGTGTGGTGTCTCTGGGCCCACAATATTGTCTCTCGATGATCTCTCATAGTGTGGTGTCTCGGGGTCAACATGGTGGTCTCCATATGGTCCCTGATAGTGTTATGTCTCTGGGCCCATAAGGTGGGCTCTGGATGGTCTCTGATAGTGTGATGTCTCTGGGCCCACAAGGTGGTCTCTGGATCATCTCTGATAGTGTGTTGTCTCTGGGCCCACAAGATGGTCTCTAGATGGTCTCTCATAGTGTGGTGTCTCTTGGTTCTCAAGGTGGGCTCTGGATATTCTCTGATAGTGTTGTGTCTCTGTGCCCACAAGGTGGTCCCTGGATCATCTCTGATAGTGTGATGTCTCTGGGCCCACAAGGTGGTCTCTGGATTGTCTCTGATAGTGTGTTTTCTCTGGGCCCACAGGTGGTCTCTGGAGTCTCTGATAGTGTGGTGTCTCTGGAACAACAAGACAGTATCTACATGGTCCGCAGATAGTATGGTGTCTCTTGGTCCACAAGGTGGTCTCTGGATGGTCTCCGATAATTTGGTGTCTCTGGGCCCACAAGGTGGTCTCTGATAGTGTGATGTCTCTGGACCCACAAGGTGAACTCTGGATGGTCTCTGATAGTGTAATGTTTCTGGGCCCACACGGTGGTCTCTGGATGGTCTTTGATAGTGTGGTGTATCTGGCACCACAAAGTGGTCTCTGGATGTTCTCTGATTGTGTGATGTCTCTGGGCTTACAAGGTGGTCTCTGAATGGTCTCTGATAATGTGGTGTCTCTGGGCCCCAAATGGTGGCTCTGGATGATATCTCATAGTGTGATGTCTCTGGGCCTACAAGGTGGTCTCTGATAGTGTGGTGTCTCTGGGGCCACAAGGTGGTCCCAGGATGATCTATCTTAGTGTGGTGTTTCTGAGCCCACAAGATGATCGCTGGATGGTCTCTCATAATGTGGTGTCTCTGGGCCCACAAGTTGATTGCTGGGTGGTCTCTCACAGTGTGGTGTCTCTGGGCTCAAAACGTGGTCTCTTTATTTTCTCTCATAGTGTGGTGTCCTTGGCCCACAAGATGATTGCTGGATGGTCTCTGATAGTGTGGTGTCTCTGGCCCCACAAGGTGGGCTCTGGACTGTCTCTGAAAGTGTGGTGTCCCATGTCCTACAAGGTGGGCTCTTGATGGTCTCTGATAGTGTGGTACCTCTGGGCACACAAGGTGGTCTCCGGATGGTCTCTCATAGTGTTATGTCGTTGGGCCCACAAGGTGGGTTCTGTGTGGTATTTGATATTGTGATGTCTCTGGGCCCACAAGGTGGTCTCTGGATGGTCTCTGATAGTGTGGTGTCTCTGGGACCAAAAGACAGTATCTGCATGGTCCGCAGATAGTGTGGTGTCTCTGGGTCCACAGGTGGTCTCTGGATGGTCTCTGATAGTGTGGTGTCTCTGGGCCCACAAGATGGACTCTGGAGTGACTCTGATGGTGTGGTGTCTCTGGGCCCAAAAGGTGTGTCTGCATGGCCTCTGAGAGTTTGGTGTCTCTGGGCCCACAACGTGGTCTCTGGATGGTCTCTGATAGTTTGGTGTCTCTATGACCACAGTGTAGTCTCTGGATGGTCCGCAGATAGTGTGGTGTCTCAGGGCCCACAAGGTGGTCTCTGGATGGTCTCTGATTGTCTGGTATCTGTGGACCTACAAGGTGGGCTCTAGATGGGCTCAGATTGTGTGATGTCTCTGAGCTTATTAGGTGGTCTCTGGATGGTCTCTGATAGTGTCGTGTCTCTGGGGCCACAAGGTGGTCTCTGGATGCGCTCTCATAGTGTGGTGCATCTGGGCCCACAAGATGATTGCTGGATGGTCTCTCATAGTGTGGTGTCTCTGGGCCCACAAGGTGGTCTCCGATAGTGTGATGTCTCTTGGCCTGCAAGGTGATCTCTGGATGGTCTCTAATAGTGTGATGTTTCAGGGCCCACAATGTGGTCTCTGCATGGTCTCTGATAGTGTGGTGTCTCTGGCATCACAAGGTGGTCTCTGGATGGTCTCTGATAGTGTGGTGTCTCTGGGCCCACAATGGTGGCTCTGAATGGTCTCTGATAGTGTGATGTCTCTGGGCCTACAAGGTGGTCTCTGGATGGTCTCTGATAGTGTGGTGTCTCGGGGCCATAAGGTGGTCTCAGTATGACCTCTCTTAGCGTGGTGTCTCTGGGCCCATAAAGTTCTCTCTGGATGTTCTCTGATAGTGTGGTGTCTCTGGGCCCTCAAGGTGGTCTCTGGATGGTCTCTAATAGTGTGATATCTCTTGGCCCACAAGGTGGTCTCTTGATTATCACTGATAGTGTGTTGTCTCTTGTGGTGAACCGCTTCTGCCGTTTCTGCAGATTATGGTCGCCATTACAAGATGACGCTGGCTCCGCTGTGGTCTGTGACAAACAACTTCTTATCTGGGAAAGTTGGCACATGATTTTTCACCACCCTGTGAGAAAGCTCCACGCGGCAGCTTTGCATTGGGGCTTGGGATGCTTTATTAAGGCTGGGAGGGGCATCCGAGAGAGAGAAGAAGAAATATCAAGGGCCTAAATAAACTGCTGAAAGAAGATTCCTGAGTTGCGTCTTCCTTGCGGGCAAGGGGTCGCGACAGTCTCTGGGCCCACACAGTGGTCTATGGATGTGTTCTGAGAGTGTGGTGTCTCTGGGCCCATAAGGTGATCTCTGAATGGTCTTGGATTGTGTGATATCTCGGGGCTTAAAAGGTGGTCTCTGGATGGTTTCTGATAGTGTGGTGTCTCTGGACCCATAAGGTGGTCTCTGGATGATCTCTGATAGCAGGGTGTTTCTGAGCTTACAAGGTGGGCTCTGGATGGTCTCTTATTGTGTGATGTTTCTGAGCTTATTAGGTGGTCTCTGGATGGTCTCTGATTGTATGGGTGTCTCTGGGCCCACAAGGTGGTCTCTGGATGGTCTTAGATAGTGTGTTTTCTCTGGGCGCACAAGGTGGTCTCTGGCTGGTCTCTGATAATGTGGTGACTCTGGGCCCACAAGGTGGTCTCTGGATGTTCTCTGATAGTGTGATGTCTCTGGTCCCACAAGGTAGTCACTGGATGGTCTCTGATAGTGTGATTTTTTGGGCCCACAAAGTGGTCTGTGGATGGTCTCTGATAGTGTGGTGTCTCGGCCCACAAAGTGGTCTCTGTATGGTCTCTGATAGTGTGTTGTCTCTGTGCTTACAATGTGGGCTTGGATGGTCTCTGATTGTGTGATGTCTCTGGGCCCACAAGGTGGTCTCTGGATGGTCTCTGATAGAGTGGTGTCTCTGGGCCCACAAGGTGGTCTCTGATAGTGTGAAGTCTCTGGGCCCACAAGGTAGTCTCTGGATGTTCTCTGAAAGTGTGGTGTGTCTGGGCCTATAAGGTGGTCTCTGGATGGTCTCTGATAATGTGGTGTCTCTGGGCCCACAAGGTGGTCTCTGGATGGTCTCTGATAATGTGGTGTCTCTGTTCCCACAAGGTATTCTCTTGATGGTCTCTGATAGTGTGTTATCTCTGGGCCCACATGGTGGTCTGTGGATGTTCTCTGATAATGTGTTGTCTCTGGGGCCACATGGTGGTCTCTGGATCAGCTCTCATAGTTTAGTTTCTCTGGGCCCACAAGGTGGTCTCTGGATGGTCTCTAATAATGTGGTATCTCTGGGGCCACAAGGTTTTCTCTGGATGGTCTCTGATACTGTGTTGTCTCTGGTCCCATGAGGTGGTCTCTGGATGTTCTCTGAGAGTGTTATTTCTCTGGGCCCACAAGGTGGGCTCTGGATGACTTTTGATAGTGTTATGTCTCTGGGAACACAAGTTGGTCTCTGATAGAGTGTCATCTCTGGGCCAACAAGGTGGTCTCTGGATGGTCTATGATAGTGTGTTGTCTCTGAGCCCACATGGTGGTCTCTGGATGGTCTCTGTGTGATATCTCTGGGCTTACAAGGTGGTCTCTGGATGGTCTCTGATAGTGTGGTGTCTCTTAGCCCACAAAGTGTTCTCTGGATGGTCTCTCATAGTTTGGTGTCTATGGGACCAAAAGTTGGTCTCAGGATGGTTTCTCATAGTGTGGTGTCTCTGGGCCCACAAGGTGTTCTCTGTATGGTCTCTGATAGTGTGGTGTCTCTGGGCCCACAAGGTGGGCTCTGGATAGTCTCTGATAGTGTGGTGTCTCTGGGCCCACAAGGTGGGCTCTGGATAGTCTTTGATAGTGTGGTACTTCTGAGCTTACAAGGTGGGCTCTGGATGGTCTCTGATTGTGTGATGTCTCTGAGCTTATTAGGTCATCTCTGGATGGTCTTTGATAGTGTGGTGTCTCTGGGGCCACAAGGTGGTCTCTGGTTGCTCTCTCATAGTGTGATGTCTCTTGGCCCACAAGATGATCGCTGGATGGTCTCTCATAGTGTGGTGTCTCTGGGCCCACAATGTGGTCTCTGGATGGTCTCTGATAGTGTGATGTCTCTTGGTACGCAAGGTGGGCTCTGGATGGTCTCAGATAGTGTGTTGTCTTCTGGCCTATAAGGTGTTCTCTGGATGATCTCTGATGTTGTGGTGTCTCTAGGCCCAAATGGTGGTCTCTGGATTGTCTCTGATATTGTGGTGTCTCTGGGCCCCCATGGCCATCTCTGGATGGTCTCTGATTGTGTGGTGTCTCTGTGCCCACAAAGTGGTCTCTGGATGGTCTCAGATAGTGTGGTGTCTCTATGTCCACAAGGTAGTCTCTTGATGGTCCGCAAATAGTGTGGTGTCTCTGGGCCTACAAGGTGGTCTCTTGATGGTCTCTGAAAGTGTGGTGTCTCTGGGCCCACAAGGTGGTCTCTTGATGGTCTCTGAAAGTGTGGTGTCTCTGGGCCCACTAGGTGGTCTCTGGATGGTCTCTAATTGTGTGGTATCTGTGGACCCTCAAGGTGGGCTCTGGATGGTCTCTGATTGTGTGATGTCTCTTGGCTTACAAGGTAGTCTCTGAATATTGTCTGATAGTGTGGTGTCTCTGGGGCCACAAGGTGGTCTCTACATGGTCTCTGATACTGTGGTGTCTCTGGGCCCACAAGTTGGTGTCTGGATGTTCTCTGATAGTGTGGTGTCTCTGGCACTACCAGGTGGTCTCTGGATGGTCTCTGATATTGTGGTGTCTCTGGCTCATCAACATGGCTGTGGATGGTCTTTGATAGTGTGGTATTTCTGAGCTTACAAGGTGGGCTCTGGATTTTCTCTGATTGTGTGATGTCTCTGAGCTTATTATTTGATCTCTTGATGGTCTGTGATAGTGTGGTGTCTCTGGGGCCACAAGGTGGTCTCTGGATGCTCTCTCATTGTGTGGTGTCTCTGGGCCCACAAGATGATCGCTGGATTGTCTCTCATATTGTGGTGTCTCTTGGCCCACAAGGTGGTTTCTGAATGGTCTCTGATAATGTGGTTTCCTTGGGCCCACAATGTCGTCTCTTTGATTAGTTTTTCCTTTGGGGTACTACTTCCC